TTCTGAGTACTTAGCAGACCCTTCCATTTCTCCCTGTCACAAGGATAAGCACACACACACACAAAATTACACTTACACGGGCCCACAGAGATTTCTGGTGTTATGTATGGATCATTAGGAACACTGAATTCTAGAGGTATGCAAATGAAAGGTAAAGCAGTGAAATCAGACTTCACACAACCATATCGTGATTTCCTTCACTCAAGTGTATCTCTCCCCTTTATTCAGATGAATGAATTAATCCACAAATCCTGCTTTTTCCTTATTCATTTCCAAAAGAAATTAATTTCAAAAGGGGAACAAACTGCATGTAACACCTTTAAAGACATTAATTCATTTTCCATAGAAAGAAGCATTAGATTTCCTGCCTTGCTGCAACTACTTACACAAGTTCAAGAGCTAAAACATTTTTATTGGAATGTTTATAAGACACAGACATGCAACTTCACCTTAAAATAATCCTTTTCCTTCAGGCTCCTGAGGAATCTCTCCCACAGGGGACCACTGAGCACATTCTCGGAATTAGGAGATACTTTGCTGCTCTTGGAGCACAAAATTTCAAAGCCATGAGCCTGTATAAGAGATGTAAAAACAAGGAGGTTCTCAAGGTGTAGCAAACTTTGCTCACAGTTTTCTGGACAAGCAGGCAACTTAAAAAGCAAAGAGTCATTTCCTGGACATACATAAACAGGCAAACCAAGCACAAAATGCATAAGAAATCCTCACCAGCTTCATGCCCAGTTCATGGGCTCTGTACTGAGGGTGAGCTGGGGCGGGCAGTGTGTATCCACTGCGTCTGTCTGGAACAAACTTCTGCTGCACCAGCTGTGCATACAGACACCGTGTGAAGGTAACCTGGAACAGCCAGAGCAGAACAAAACCACTCACTGCGGCGTGACTGTGTCGTGTACAGGCAGCAACTTTCCACCAGGCTTCTAAAATCGTGTTTTAAGGCACCAGCATTACAGACAACACCTGAGACCGCATTCAAACACATCCTAGGTTCGTTTTTCTAAGATATGTTGCTTTTCAGGTCTTACAAAGTATATTCCAAGTTGACATCTCTACACAGACATGAGCTTCCATCAGTCTAAATACATTAGAAAAGACCCTAAGTATTCACTATTCACACCAGCAAGGTGTATTTCAAAAAACTGCAAGGGCTTTTTTCTGTTAATGAAACAAAAGCTGAGATTTCAGGAACAGTCTAGAAATCTAAAATTTGACTGCAAAGCTTCTTTTCAGTAGTCTAGGAGTATAACAATGTCAGAAAATGTATCAGATACGACACAATGCTCATGAAACACTTCATAAAGTGTGTGAGCACAGCTGACAAGCTGAGAAGCCTTAGCATGAACAGCTGGGGGTAGTTAGCAGCAACTCCTTCTGTTGGCTGGCAGTGCTGTCAAACTGCTCTGATTACAGAAGGGGATCAGTTTATTCAGCAAGCATTTCAGCAGAGGGACTATTAGCACAACCTCCTGTTTCAGAAACATTTACCTCCTGCTTAGCCCTTTGAAAGCCCAGCTGTGTCAACGTGAAGACACACAAACTATTAATGTAACAAACTGGAAGTTATTAAAAGTTCATAAAAAAATAAACAAACCAGAAAACATCCTGTTGTAAAAACTAAACGCACACATTTACACCATTGCCCACAGAGCCCCTGCCAGTCACAGAAGTGAGCTGCCAGGTTGATTTGGGTCACTGACCACGGTCATCACACGCTGGTCCGCAGGGAAGGTCTGGAAAGGGCGACGACAGGCCCGTAAATCCGCTGGGTCCCGCAGGTAGAAGGCCTGGACTGCGGCGGCCACCAGGGACGGGCGCTGCCGCAGCACCGCCGCGATGCCCGCCGGCACGTAACACTGGGCTCGGTGCAAGCAGGCCTGGAGCTTCTCGGGATACCTTGTGTCACACAACAGCAACAGAGTAAGTGTACTGCCAGCCCAAACCACTCCTTTTTCACTGTCAGTCCCATTTTCACTGCAATATTAACCCGTGTTATTCTGAAGTTAAAACTTGCCTGGAATGGCTGCTTCTGTAACAGATGTAATATCCCACGTACATACACATTAATGCCCACATTGGTGAGCCACTGAGAACTGAGCTAACGTATTCAGCTATACAGTGTCCTTCACCACACCCAGTGTGGAAGTCATCTGGCTCACACTGTTGCAAAAATTAATGGGCAGTGCTGTGATGCTCTGAAAAATATGCTGGTTCTACATTTTAGTTCAAATCCTCTTTTTCCTCCTGCAAAGGGGTCCCAAAGGCTCACAGAACTCTGAGATTTTTCAGTACAAGAAGGATGGGAAGGAAGAATAACTTGTCATTGCCAGGTGTGGAGTCATAGCAGTGAACCAGTTTCAGAGCCCCCAGATCACAGTCTACGGGACACTGATCCCCCTCTTCCCAAGAATGCCACAGGAAAACCTCTAGCTGGTGGTTTCTGGAAAGGAATCAACTTTATCACTTTATCTATCAAGGAAAAATCTTTAAACCCCAGACAGCCCAGTAATCAAAACTTACTGTGGCAGAAGACCAAAATAAAACACCCACATACCCATCAATGCGTTTGTACACGGCAGCTCTGATGGGCTCTGCAGCCAGGAACTCCTCAGAATGGGTGGATAACAGTGCCAGTGCCTCTGAGATTGTTGGACAGGGAGCAGACGGGTCCCATTCCTGCTCCCCAGTCTCTGCCAGCGGAATGATGTGCAGCTCTCCTTTGTAAAAGAACACCTGGCAGAGGGGAATGTTCCCATCAGAACAGGCACACACTGAGCTATGGGAAACTTAATTTCATATACAAAATGCATTTGTTTGAACACAGGGAATACTGCAGTACAAATAAATAATATGGGAAGCAGTATAATCTAAAAATGCATTTGAGATGCTAGCGACCACGACCCAAACAGTGAATAAAACCCCTATTTTAACTTCAACAAGTTTGGTCAAATGTATCTTGTTTCCTTAATAACAGTAATACCAAAAGTTTCCCTTCAACCAAATATTTGCTTCAGGAGAATCAGCATAACCTAATTGCTGAAAAATTCCCTACACGTTCACTCTACATAACATTCTGCAAGAGCACAGGGATCCAAATCAAGTGTGAGGAGTTCCCAGTTATTAAGTCTCTCATTCAACAACCACAGCAAGCACAAAGCAGCTCATTAAAACTAGAATGAAAAGAGACTGTACTAAAAAAAACCCATGCTGTTGATTAAAACAAGTCTTGAGCCCTGAGTAGAAGTTTATTCACTAGTAAGGGACAGACAGCACTCTGGATTTTCAGAAGCAGTCAGACCACTTGGCTAGAGGTGCAAGAGAAGATTCCAGCTGCTACATAAAAGACCACCATGAGCCACTTGCCAAATGTACAGAAGTTTTACTCACCCTGTTTTCGCTGTTCTCAGGATTCAGCCACTTTGGGAGAAAATCAGCTGCTTCTATCAGGAGAAACTCTCCATCGTTGTCATCGATCCTGGCCAAGGAGAAATTGGTTTCTTAAAAGGGAAAGCCTTGCAGAGCACAGTAATGTGCTCCTAAATCCATGTCTGCCGGGTTTCTTTTTAATACTCATAGAATCATAGAATGGCTTAGGTTGGAAGGGACCTTAAAGATCATCTGGTTCCAACACCCAGCCATGGGCAGGGACACCTTCCACCAGATCAGTATAATCAGAGTCCCCAAGCAGCCTGGCCTTGAATGCTTCCAGGGATGGGCAATGTTAAGAAAGGACCTTCAAAGCAAAGGCACTACCCCTTCACACGCCTCCTGAAATTCTGGGAACCTCAGCAGGACCTGCCCTACCTGGCTGCCAGCCCTGGGAAGTGCCTGGTGATCTCCCGGACCAAGTAGACGATGAACCACTCGTCCTCCACGTTGTCCCCGAACAGGGTGGTGCCGCCGATGTGCGCGGGGATCTCACCTGCACGGGGGGCAGAGACAGCTCAGCAACCCCATAGCCAGGAACTGCCCAGAGACGGTGTGTGTCCCTCACTGGGGATATTCCAGAGCCGTCTGGACACAATCCTGTGCCGTGTGCTCTGGGACGGCCCTGCCGGAGCAGCGAGGTTGGACCAGATGCCCCACTGCGGTCCCTTCCAGCCTGACCCGTTCTGGGGATTCTGTGAACCCGCCGGGTCCCTCTTACAAGCTCCTGGATACACCTGACTGGCCTGGCCGGGGCCCCCCTCACACACCGGCTCCCCCATCACACATCGTGTCGCCCCTCACACACCGACTCCCCCTCACACACCGGCTCCCCCTCACACACGGGGTCCCCCCTCACACACCGGCTCCCCCCTCACACACCGGCTCCCCCTCGCACGCTCCCCCCTCACACACTGGGTCCCCCTCACACACCGGCTCCCCCTCACACACGGGGTCCCCCTCACACACCGGCCCCCCCCCCCCCCACCCGCCCCCC